TGGGGGTCATCAGTGTGTCGTTAACTTGTGAAAAACACTTGAATTCAGACAAGAGACTAGACTCATTTCACCACAGTCACCCGATTTCGTGGAAGCCACAATAGAAAACTTTGGGGAAGTTTTAATGAAATGTCAAAAAACACTAAGAATCACCTCAGTACTGAATGTTCAGAGATAAACTGCGTTGTAAAAGACTTATAAATTTTTCCTGATAGTAAGAAAAAAGAAACTGAAACTGTTGCATTTTGTTGCCGGGTGTTTGTTAGTAACGCTTACACGAGCAACTTTGTCAAGACTTTAGTTTGTTATTGCTATGGCATAGCAGAAAGCTTCAGGGTACAGACATTTTATAAGGTCATTATTATCCAGTTAAGTTAAAGGTGAAGCCATAGCGTGACCATAATTTCGTCACTTAGGATTTCTAAAATATTTAAGCGCCAACTCTGACAGCAAAAAGGAGCATGAAGTATCCTTGCATCAAGGATCCTAAAGAATTAACGTTATTTCTCAAACAATACCATTGTTCAAATAACTTGCGAAAAAATTAGATATGGTTGTAGACTCGATTTAATCTCAATAACACTAGCAAACTGTCATCATTGTAAAAGCTCATCAAATACAACGCCGGGTTGACTTCGTGTATAACGGTAATAAAAGCTGAACTATTAGACAAATTCCCCATTTAACCTCGTTCACCAACCGCATTCTAACTCTCACTATGTAACTACAGTAATAAAAGCTATATACCAGTTTTTTCGGTAGAATTTATTTCGTACGTTCTGTTACTCAAACATACAATAAGCATCGTGGTGGAAATCATTGTGCACCCAATTTTAGTAAGCGTCATTCAGCACTTATAGTCAGGCATACAAAAGCAAACTAAAAACAAGAAGCGAATGGAGTAAGCGAGGGAAAATATACACACAAAAAACACCCAAGGTTGCTAGTTAATAATGGACTAGGATATATATACAAAATAACGCAAAATGATCAGGTGAATTTTCTTGTCCAGAAGTTGGAATAAATTCATGTAAGTTACTATGTGACCCCCCTGTAAGAAATTGTGCAATAATTTTTGAAAGTTTCTAAAAAAATTATTCGCAAAAGATATGCAAAAAGCGTTTGACGGGCAACAAAATAATGTACTAATTTAAGCAAAGTACAATGCTAATTGAAAGTTGAGTGTGTGATATGGAAATGCTGCATTTTCGGAACAACAAGTATGTATATCGTGTAAGTACGGAGACATTTTAAGATGTTATCGATAGAATGCTATCCTGTCTCAGTAATTAAACATCTTGTTGGAGACCGTAACCTCTGTAGTATCATTTGATTAGATGGCTTTGAACCATCTTTCAAATCTATCGGTACGTGTTAGTATTTATGTTTATTCTCTAAAAGATGCGAACGGACCAACTCTGTTTACATGAACGTGCTTTAATCTGTTATCTGGTTTCGAAAATGTTTCAATGAATTGACAGTATATCAGTGGACTTAAAACCGATGGCAGACTAGAAAAGCCTGTACTCACTGTCGGATATCACTGTTCAATTTCCTCCGTGACTATCTCGAATTACTTTGACTGAAGTCCTGACTCGTAATTATAAAATCCCATGTAATTTATCGAACACTGCTTTTAGTGCAAACAGTCTCTTTCATTTTATAGACATGTCACAAATGTTTTAGGATTATCCATGTTCATGAAAACTTCAATCAGCCATGACTTGTCAATCCTATCCTAAACCCTTAGTAGTAAATCTCTTAAATGTATACGACCACTGACGTGACTCTTAAATTTCGGAATACGGATTTAATAAGTGTCGTCTGTTTAAAATCCGATTGTCGTCATTGACGTTTATACAAATCAACTTTAAGGATCCACCCTAAAACTTTTATAATGGAATGTATAGATCTACATGATAAGTCTTGCGGATTGAACGCTATATTCGTCTCCTAAGCTATTCTGTAACCCCCAAGCTAAAACTATACAGCGACCTGAACACGAGAGAGAAGACTCAAAGTATGCGAGAAGTAGTTTACTTCAAGGTTCATTTTAATACGGAAAATACAGGGTTTTTATAATATTTTAAATGTCCTTGGGTTGCTAGAAGATTATGGAATGCTACTAGACATAGTAGCAGTACAACAACCAGCCAATCAGAACCTCTATATGTGACGTTCCGCTTCCTTGATATTTTTTGGCAAAAACTACAAGTGAACGCTGATTGCAGAAAACGCTTCTTAGTGTTTCCTGATTCTTGCTTATCTCTTGCGAGAAATTTGCCGGATCACCCCAACACTAGAGATTCCGTTAGTTTGCATAAATATTCAGTAAACTTAAAGCTCAGTCGCTTCAGAGTTTTTTCCCAACCATTTAATGACATGTCTGCGTTTTCCTTTAAATTATTTAGTTGGAGTTGTTGAAAGACATATTTAGTCCACACACAGAGAAATATAGTATAAAAATGAAAATCATTTACTGGCGTACATCATTTTCATGATTAAAGATATCAACACGAAATTCTTGCAAAGCGACGAGTTAAGCAAATCCTAAAGTGTAAATATGTCAGTCATAATAATTTCTATTTTTAAATTGTGAATACTGAATATGCTAGTTCGATTTTTTCTTATTTTCAGATTATATATGTACTGATATTTTAACCTGCGGTCTTTTCCAGTTATTGCCAGTCACAAGTCATCGAGGTGTATCGTGTGACCAACCTAAATATGATAGAAAACCAAGATTCTATTGAGCTCAAAAATTATAAAAAACTAAAAAATACATACAAACTATTTTGTGTGGGTTGTGTCGTTTTTCTTACTGGGTTTCTTTTCATATTTTTTGGCCGTCCATACACATTTGATCGAACAAACAAGGATTTGTTCTTTGTTTTTGGACTGGTTTTTATTTTCCCCGGATCATTCATAACATTGTTGTCAGCGTATTTTCTTTTTCGTCTGTGGAATACTTCAAATGACTTCATAAAACTTAATAAAACTCCTGTTTATCCTGAAGATACAGTTGAAGACCTTGTACCTCCTGAGAAACAATTGGTTGAACCCATAGAAACTTCTCCTAATTTTTCTAAATTTGGTTTAGACTTAAATGAACCTATATGAACTATCAACACTAACCAAAACAATCATTCTACCTATTACGTGTTTTCTTGTTTTACGGTCATTTGGAGGCTTACCAGTCTTTTTGTATAGAAAATAAATAATGCACATATTCAGTTTTTCTATTTTTATTTATTTACCCGAAACAAATTGACTTTTAATTAAAAGTTAAAGTTTTAACTTGTATATACTCGAAACTGCTTTATATGTATGTCCCACTTTGTATGTACCATCCTCGATTTGATGTAAAAGAGGAAAATAATCAGCAATCCCGTTTGTTCCAATAAGTCTAAATGTAATCTGAACTGATTATGGTTTATGATACAGACGTTCTCATTGTTTTTTTCATCATAAGTTGAATGAATATGAAGCACTAAAGTTAATGAATATGTAGTTATATGTTGTTGAAAACGTGAATTTAAGTTCACAACATTACTTTGACCACTTTTGATGGTTTAACTTCAAACTATTTTGTCGGGTACATTTGCTAAAGGTGAACACCACATTACATAGAAATTATGGTATAGAAATCACTGTCGTGTTGCTTGTTCATTAATGCTGTCAAAGTTACTATCATCATGTTTACTACGTATTTATATAATCAAGTAAATCGATGTATCAACCTACTATATTCTGATTGTTTGCGCGTGAAACTTTTGAATAGCCTCAGTGGTATATTTTAGATGAAACTTAGTTTCAGTAATTTATGACTCCAAACACTAAAATTCATGCTTACCGCTTCCAAATGTATATATTCAAAGTCTTAAAACAATAATTTAGGCCAAGATAGAGGTTTTGTCATTCTTAGATGACATGATATTGAATATTCTGTTAGAGGCAAAATCATCACAATGGATGATAAATAATATGGAAACTCAAAAGATAATCCATCATATATATTATTTAGAGGCTATAACTATTAGTAGTTGTGTTTATTTGTTAAAGTCTGTCTTCCATCTTTTGGTTCGAATAAAGTATAAGTTTTTTATGATTTTGTTGACCCTGGAGGAAAAGTGTTGATAAGTTGTTATGAAGAACTTTGATCTACAACTAGTGATAATAGGAAGACGACCAAATAAATACCTTTTTGTTTAAATCAGGCTATTACATGAATAACTCACGCTATTGTACAGAAGATGGACTTTATCTTAGACAGTCATGCAAAAACTTATACGACTGTCTCATAAAGATCATCAGCTACACTAATTTACCCAAAACAGGTAACGTGAATATGTGTAACACATATGTTCGTCCCGCTTCCCACCTCACTATAATTTACACTGTAATCCGACCCGGGAAAATTTTTATGTGATCAAATTAAGATATTTTACAATCAATAACTAATAGATCGTCTGAGTATTAAGTTTATTTTTCAATATGCTGGCACAGGTAAAAAGTTGGTCGCAAACCAAATCACCGCATATAGGAAATCAAACTGGTTTTATAATAATAATGGTGATAATAAGAATGAACAACTCATTGAAATGATTCTCTATCATGAAGACTTTTGTTGTCTTAATTCTTCCATTGATCCTTTACTCACAACTCATGGTGTATAATAAAAATTAATTGTTTGTTAAGTATCGCAGATTTTAGACTGTTCCTAACAATTTTCAATTTGATGTATCAATCCTTAAGATTGTCAACGAAAGAAATCTATCCAATTTAACTTCAAATAAAAGGTTTTATTTGAATTACGATTATTTTCACAAGCACTATTAATCGATAGTTAGATTCTATGTAAAATGCATCCAAAATCATGGTTGATTAATTCAATAACGTTTAACTTTTCGGAAATATGATAATTTGTTTTAAAATCATTCAGAGTTCCCTTTATCAAAATGATAATTTAGTAGGGTACTTAGAAATGGGAAAATAAAGATTCACGTTTTTCTCTTAGTTATATGATCGTAGATAACAACTTGAAGATACTTGTCAGTTTCGACGATTGTTCTTTTGGAATTATCACCAGGGGATGCAGCCTGAAATGAATAAAAATTAAGTAGTGCGATATTTAATTACAAGACATGTGGTTTAAAAAAAGTAATATTTTCGTAGTATACTAAATTCAGGGATCAACGTTTTTGATTTGTAGGACAATCTACAAATTACGCATTGATCATGGAATTATAAAAATGTTCCCTAGAGGTAATTGTTTATATTCATTTAAAAATATGAATTAAAAATCTTGGGTAATGTTGATTCTATCATGATGATTGAAAACTAAGGGAACCGTTTAATTTTACTGATACAATCAAATCACTAGTTAGACATTCATTATGCTGACAAAGTTTGAAAATATATTAAATAAATAATAAGACTGGATTTAAGTTATACTTAATGTTTGGATTCAGTCAAACCATCTACACAAATCTTATGATTAGTACAAGGAATCGATATACAGTAATCAAGTCCTTATCTATTTTTTAAATTTCATTTAAAGCTAAACAAGTTAACATCAGACTTAGTTAATAAGGTTCGGAAGTGTGGTAATGTACAGTTTAAAATATTCTGCTAGTATCCATAAACGTTTAGTTCTCTCATGTGATGATTGGTAAGGAAGCCTGAAATTCTAATGTATAATGAGCTATTAATAAAAGCTGTCTAAATTCAGGCCTGAAAAATTCATACTTGAATAATGCTAGAAATTCATGCAATTTTTCGATCAAAACTTACGAAACAATAACTTACAGTTGAGTCAACATTTAAAATTTTTCTATCACGTTTATTCTTCAAAAGAAGGCCGTTAGGATTTTCTGTTATTACAGTATAATTCGGTGATGAATTGGCTACAACATTGTGAGTTTCCCAATTGTAGAAACTAAGAATTAAGTTAACGTATATTTACATATATTAGTTTTTGTGTGGAATATTCATACTTCAAACAGTTATTTGCACATGGAATCATGTTAATAAAAGCCAACTTGGGTGTTGATTTAAGATAAGTGTGTGTCCTTGTTTCCAAATGGATGAATTAGTTAGTTGGGAGACTGAACTTACGGTAGTTAAAAATGAATAGGTGGAGAGGGCTTCATTCTCAAGAATTTGTGAATAACATTAGAAATTTAAGAACTATAGATTAGAGATATTGTATTTATAAGAATAAGAGTGAGCATTTTAAATACGTGCTGCAGGATTATTTAAAATCTTTGGAAACGTAGAAATGAAAAGCATATCGTCAGAAAAACCAACCAAATACATCGTATCATGCAGTCATCTTTGATGTAAAAACTACTTTATGTTTCACTTTAGAATAGTTAAATACATTTTTAGAAAAATACCCAGCCTGATTATTCCTTCAATGTTTTTAAGGATTATAGTGTGCATAAACTTCCTTAGCTAAAATGGTCTTATTTAACAAAATTGTGGTATTTTAGGAAGTTAAGTAGCTGAGTATGAGCCCGGAGGTCAGTTAGTAATATTCACCTTATAAACTAGGATATTTGTGCATCGGTTTAAGTTGCTACATCACATTAACGAAGAGTAAAAGTTATCAACACAAATGCTAGAGTGATAGAAGTAGCAGCATCAGCAGCAGTAGAAAATGTTAGACATATAAAGATGAAACACCCATAAAGCGATTTCGGGACTCATGATCTAAAACGATATGAAGAATCAGTGCACCTGGGTCATTACGAACGACTATGAGCCATATCATTCAGCTTCTACAACCATTGGTTATGATTATCACTCGGGTCCCAATTAGGTAGTTTGCATCTACCAATATGTCTGTCACACAAATAACTTCCCAAACTGCTATCACGTATTGATTTTTCGGACCCTACCTTTCTTTTAACCTACTTCTATGTCAGATAAGACCTCTCGACGAGATAGGCGGTGGTTGGGCCTACGTGGTGCATATCCAAACCACCTCAGTTGATGAGCCTTCATTACCTCATCAACTGAATAAACACCTTCATTTAAAATCGTATGCTTAACATTAGCACTGATCGATTGGTGGTCAAAAAATACTCAATCTATGTTTTAAAACACTTAAAATCAAACAAAAGTAACCTCCAAGTGTCCTTTAGTTTTAATGATCATGCTTAGCATCCATAAAGTGCGATCAAGACTGCTGCTGCACAGTATATTTATCTTTTTGTTAGCAGACGAACATCCCACCTACTTTACAAGTGACACATTTCGGCAAAGGCCAATTAGGCTCACTGAGTCTGTTTCGAGACTTGGTCATAAATGCATATAAATCAACGGTTTCAATATTACTAGGAAATTTAATTGCTGCACACTTATTGTACCATGGTCGATCCAGTGGAATTTTGAGGCTCTAGAAACAATTCGTTTATTCCATATCTTAAAATAAAATGTCTTTCAGTTTCTGTATTGTGATTCTATCGCGAACCTAATGATATAACTATGCGATTCTCTGAATAAAATCATATAAAAACTAACTGCTGTCTATTAAAAATAGTAAAATTGACTTGCTAAGCAAATTAAACGCACTGTTTTACAATATACCTTAGATCTCCTGTTCTTGGGAGCAACTTTTTCTTTTCTTTAAAATACACTGTGAAGTCTTCAGATTTCAAACGATGTGCATAATCTATGTAGCCCGATATTTCTTGACCACGTGAATTCTTATCTCTAATAAAAATAATAGTCTAAAAATATAAAAGTTTAAAATGTAATGCAGAAGTTATGTATCAGTTGATTTAAAAAAGTATATTGTTAAGATGGTTGTTGAAAAGTTAGGGAAATATTACCCAGGTGGTCAGACTGAAGTAAATAAAATGGGTGTTTATTAAGGGCTTGAACCAGTAGGATGGTTTATAAAAAAAGTAACATATAAATAGTGAGCTGCAAATAACTCACAAGGCCAGTGTTTTATTCATTTTGTAGAAGCAGGCGTTACAAATAACAAATGTCTTTTGGCCATGTCGGCCCTAGATTTTCAGGTATGAAAACTATTTGATAAGTTGATTTTTGGATTATGTTGGTCATGATAATTAAGCAATACGTCCTTTCAGTCAGCAACTCTTTATTAAGGTACATATTTACAGCTAAAAAAGGGTTTAAGAGCAGTTGGTTACGAATAAGAAATTAGGCCATACAACTAGAAGTGACAATAAGTCAAGATATATGTACTTGGTTATTACTGCCTTTCGCCATTGATACTTCAAAGGACATGTGATAAACACTGTGAAGTATTAAAATGAGGGCCTCATGGAACGTTTTCAGATAGCTTAAACGATTACCTGTATTATTTAATCACTATGAGATTGAGGTTAAACCTTTATTTTTGCAGAGTTCTAAATTCTTAAGATTTAAAAATTATCAATCTGTGTTCTTACAGTTTTGTAGATACATTATGACTTCAGATGATGACAGTGATGATTAAATGAAGGTTCAAATTAACTTCATATTTATTCTTCAAAATTAGGGTGTCAGAATCAATGAGAATAGTGTTGAGGATGCAACAATTGGTACTTATGTTTTACCAGACAGAAAAGGAAAACAAACAAATATCCATAGGGTACAGATTATCGAAATTTTGGAAATCGATCTTTTGGCTAAGATCGATGAATTAAAATTGACTCAGCATTTACAGTCAATGTATGGTAGCTCAGCTATACTGACACATACATACAAGAACATATATATTAAGACATTCATGAACGAACTTAAATAACTACACCCACGCAAACACGTACTGTTGTGTAGTATGGTGTCGAATTTCCATACTGATAAAAAGCCTATTTATACATGAGCCAAACTAACTATTAAAGTAACAAGACTGAAGGTGAAACAGTGCTTTAACAACTAAAGGGAATTGGGAATGAACGATTTCTGTGGTCTAATATATCACGTCCTATCAAATCAAAAACGATCAACAATGAGATTTGGGTTGATCCTTTAATTCATTTACCTAAATTTTTGTCGTGTGTTTTATGCCGGCTTCCACAAAATTATCTTACAAAGCCAACATATGGCCAGGCAGTTTATAATATTTACAAAGATTTCAAATGATCTAGATAGATGAGATTCTCTTAGTATTTTAAAATTTACTACCTCTACTTTCAAATGCTAAAAAATGTTACTTACGGACATTTGACCAGTTCGATTAGAACCTTCCCGCTCAACTAAAGCTCGAAGGAATGGACACGTTATCTTCAGACCGAAAGAAGACAATGCACTAAAACAAACGGAAAGTTTTATAACGATACTGATTTATGTGCCTCAAAATTTATTCTCAAAGATGATCCTGTCATGAGAGTATGTTAAAGCGATTTTTTATTTAAGGTAGGATGGTAAAATATCTGTTTTGACAACGTATATTAGCAACAGGTAAACTAAGACTTGAGTGTTTATAAATTTATATTTCAATATCTTAGGAGAAACAATCCAGACCATTTGAGTACAATGGTAAAAAAGCTACTGAGTATAAAAAGGAAGAAAGTGATTCTAGAGAGAAGCTAGAGTGCAGTCCTAGTTTGGATCACTATTTTAGTAATCGTATACTTCACAAAGCCACTCTTTTTACCTTATTTTGAGGAATAACGTAAATTCTAAGAGGATAAACAGTCATAGGGGACAATCCACGAGTTTCTTTTACTGGCTTAGTAGTTTTATAGATATGAAATTAATGTTTTTGAGGAAATAAGTTTTTTACTATAAGTGATCTTGAAAACCTAACTAGTTCTGTCAAGAAAAGTAAAAGTGAGACCGTAGTTGAGTGTTCAACTATGGTGCGTTAATGTTCAATAAGTTTTTTCAATAATTTATCAGTAAAATGCTGTGAAACGTAAAATACTTTGTTCTTTAATAGGCAGGCGAAATGTGGGCAAAATATTAGGAATGTATGTCTTATAACGATACTGAAATTTAAACGTGTTACTTCTAAATAACTAAATCGCTTCATCTAACTCAAGTTCGTAATAGAGCAGCTGAATTCCATAATAAAAAGAAGTAATAACCAGATTGATGTTGAAAATTCGACCACTGATTCTACTAAGAAATTTATTTCTCACCCTTTTTACTCTGTAAAATCTATTCCACGGTTTTAAAATTGAATGGTGGTATGTTCAGAAGTTGTGCAAACTCACATTGAGTAGAATGGGTGACTTGTATAATCCTTATCACTCAGTAATTTTGATGATAGCTACTACACCTCAAGCAGCCGAAAAAGAGGGGGTATGGAGTACGTCCTGTAAGGAACTAAGAGGAGGATTAGTCGATAGACTCCAAAACATCTCCGCCCGCCATGGGGGAATAGATGGACATTTCCCTTAAATATGCCACAGATATACGGAGTTTGACAACATTTTTACATGTGACACTTCTTTGATTGCACGACACCAACCCGGTCAAATTAAAAGACAGAAAGCGATGTACAGAGACATGTTTGGGAAACTAGCGATATGTCGAAAAGTGTTCTAAGCTGGCTAACGGTTATAAGGGATGAGTAGCAGGGCGTACTCACTAATGATCTGGTGCGAATGTGTGATCAAGAGCCTTCGGTTAAGTATCTCCAGTAAAGCTAATGAGGTCAGAATCAATGACAAGGACTTACAGAACAAATTATTTTGGGAATCTATTTACTGCTATACAATTTTTTGTCTCTGGATGTTTGAAATGGCGCTCAGTTACCTGCATTTCACCTAAATACACGTCAAATTACCTAGATTTCGTGCACGCCGTTGTACAGCATTCGAGCTCAACAAAATAAATAAAATGCTTTCCAATTATATTAAAAACAACAATAAAATTTGGCTATAGCCAAATATTAGTTATGAAGACCAATGTTTACAATCCTGCATACACATATACAAACCTTAATGCTGACCGACAAAGGACAAATATGTATTCCCGAAAACGTACAGATCATACCAATATATTTTGAAGACAAGTGATAGAAAGTTGAAAAATGTGCAGACCAGGTACCTAGTAATTTACTTTTTTTGTTGCTCTTTAGCTAGCATTGCCTCAGCAAGTGCTTTCTTACGACTGTTGAACTCCTCACGTTTGAGTGTTTCACCTGATCCTCTGTAACCTAGTTCAACAAGTTGTCGAGCTATTTCCTCATCCTTAAAATGTTCAGGTAATAAATAAAGAATATGATGAACCTCCAAATAAAAAAGATCAGTGGCCGTTATCTGGGAATCTAGATAGTCCTCATATGTTTCAAACTGTGCTACAGCATCATCTATTCCAACAGATGAAGATATCTGGTCATCCGAGTTATTTGTCATGAAATTGTATCGTTCCACCTTATATTTCTGCGTCTCATTACTACGTTGATCGACTGAAATAATACAGTAAAACAAACTGAAACCCAAATAGAAATGATCTTAACCTTACTCATAGAAAAATTAGTCTTCAAAATAAGGAAGTACTTCAATTTTGCGCAAGTTAGGTTATGTTGTCATAAAACAATACAGCGTTGAATTTACCCAACTTAGAAGCCAGTTTTCTTGGTTTCTAAGACATGATTGTATTCATCTTCTGGTTTACTTCAATCACTAAGATTTTTGAAATCACCATACGCTTGTTTTAATGAACAACTGAGATCACGTTTTTGACATGTGTGTTATGCAATTCAACAAACGATATCAAATAGTTTATTGAAATGGACGTTTTGTACTGTTATGTTGAAATGATTTCATAAAAGAAGCGCTCTCTTCAGCACGAATTAGCAATAGATGCTTATAAATGCATTTTAAATTCAGTTCAACTTATATTCGGTTTATTTTGCGTATTACTAAGTAGCCACGACTTTGTTCTCCATTGAGTTAATACTTTTATTATGAGTTGTATGTCCAGGAAAGTTCAATGAGTCTGAAGAAATATCGACTATGGAGTGTTTGACGGCTTTACTACCTGAAATATTCTCTTACGAAAAAACCTCAATGCCAAACATACTAGGAGTCAAAGTTGGTGGGATTAAAACTTTTGTTTAGTGACGGCCGATATGAGTTTATACTCAAACTAAGCTGATTAGATGTCGTGAGAAATGTGCAGCGATTGGCGATCATGAATTGATAAGTTGCATCAAACACTTGAACTTCAACGACACGAGTAAATGTTTTGAACGACTAAACTGGGTATGACGTAAGTTTTGACGATATCTTTATCCTTCATATGAATTCGATTTCGAGCTTCTGTTCATATCCTGGAATGTAGCAATTAAGTTGTATTTGTGTTAAGCGGTAACTCTCTATAATGGTTGATACGCGAGCTAAATTATTATTTTGAGTATAATGAGATCCAGTGTTGAGCATCAAGGAAAGAAAGATTACGGGTGAGGGTCTAAATAGTCACAAGCCCAGGGATAAATGAACTTCGATCTCTACCGTTTTTCGTATTATTGTAGTTCGTTAGGTTACTTTTGACAATGCGCGTGTTCCTCTAAAAGCAATCTGATGTATAACATTTATGACTTCAAACCGCTTATAGTGTATTAGCCGGACGTACGCACCGACTGTATAATATGATGAATAAATGTATTCAAACTGATTTTCTAATGTAGGTGGAATTAGATAAGCACAAATGAATTTATCATATTTGAAATTCGTAGTAAGAGGGAATCAAGTAAAAGGAATCATCAGTTAGTACAAATGCCACATCCGTCACAGCTTAGGTGAGAATTTTAATTTCTACGATCGGTTGTACTTCTCCTAAAGTTCATCACGTGTCTGTCCGATAGCGTATTGGATATATACACTGTATGATCTAGAATGAACCCATTACTGTTAAAATTAACAACCGAAATAGGAAAAAGGAAATTTGATCGGCATGATGGTTGTGCATACGATATCATTGATACCTTGAATTTTGCACGGAAAATTTTCCAACACTATTCACCACAATTCCTTTGACTGATTGAAGGTCATTACCACGATGATACTTAGCTTCTTAAGACTTTAAACACTACATATTCGGTAGGAAAATCCTTGTTTTAATAACTTTGATGAATTCTTCTTCGTCACAGAACGATTGCCATTTCCAAATTGAAGTCGAAATGTGTTTATTTCCCTCTCCAGTTCACAAACTGTCGAGGTGGCAATAGATTCAGTAGCATTTATTAATGTCCCGAAAAACGCCTATTCCAGACTATTATAATAAAGGTGCTGGGGATCAGGAAACATGTGTTTGCACTCCATACTAGTTAACTAGGTAGTGGCTGTGTCCTCAGAAAAATGAGAGTAATTATCATTCATCAACACTATGGGAATCTCTACTCGACTAACAATTCTTCCTATTACTTGGACTGTGAAGCAAGGACTCAGTGAAATTATAAAGAAAACTTCAGGTCACTTCGAAAAAATATCAGTAGCTACAGGTGCATAGTAGTCGTCAAGAAATAGACCACAATAGTCTGCATGAATTCTCTGTCATGTCTCGAGCGATTCTGGCTATGGAGCCCACTTCGAAGGATGACATTTCAACTTATGAATTTCACCACACGATATATGTCTACGTTTATCTCTGGCCACCAACATATGAGACTTTCCAAAAACTGCACTCAAAATTTATCTCACGGAACAGAGGTAACTAGTTCGGTCGATGAAGACATTACAGTCAATATGGTGAGTGACATTAAAACAATATTAAATAAAGGAAAGATGGAGTTGTTTCTAAAAATTCAAAGACATCCTGGAAATACTTAGGATCCAAAAGCAATAGAACCATGTGTTAAAAATAACTGCAATCAATTTCAAGAATAAAAATCAGCAAAGAAAACGCAAAAGAAGATGGAAAAAACAGTATAGTACGGAAGCACGAAGAGCTAGTCACAAAAAAGACGGAGAATGTGTTTCCTCCATAATTGCGTATGAGCGTATAAAAATCAGATCTTGCAATAAAGTCATTTTATAGCTCAGAACACAGCCGGTTCTTCTCTCAAAATTTCTGCATAACCGAGTTAAGCAACAGCAAGTTCGCGTAAAACTTAGTTTGGAAGATCCGTAATATATTTCTCAGTTAAACGCCGCTAGAAATCGTTAAGTTTCTGATCATGAACTATTTTATCAGAACTAAGAACATTGAGATCATCTTGATGAACTTCAACACCTTAGGGATCACTGACCATGTTATTCATCACTCTCTGTAATGTAGCTGGAGAACAACGTGAAGCAAATGGAAGTGATGCGTATTTGAACAGGCCAAAACTAGTGTTAACTGTCGTGAAAATAGATCGAGATTGATCTCAATAAATTTAAGGATAAGAACCACTTAGGTGAGCACTTTAGAATCATGAAGTTGATTCAGACTATCTTCAGTCTCCACCGTCCTGCATGTCTGCTTCAACAAACTGGAGTTCAATTTTAATATATAGTCAGTACATAGTCTAGGTGTCTTGCCATCGGAATTCGATGAATACCAATACCTCTTCTGCACTTTGCACACATAACTACCAAATATTCAGGCAAAGCATCTGGATCTTCTTTAGCATATAAAACTCGACTTGTCATGAAATGAGAAAGGAAAACTTTGTAATCGGTGCTCATTAAGAGAAGAACTGAAATTATTTGACTGAATAGTGTTATACCAAATGTCGTTAACATAACTGTGTTTTTTATGTTGTGCTCGAATTTTGATTTTGTTTGTTTATAAGTTTGACCTCCGATATATTTTGTTTCACAAGGCTTTAGATTTGGTATTTCAACAGCTTTGCTCCACAAACCTAAAAATTAAAGATTTGTTGTATAACTGTTATATTTATTATTCGAACAATATATTTTTGTCGGCTACTTATAATACGCTCATAAACTTTCATACCTGAACCGGACTTGATTTTCTTGTTATTTAGTTCATAGTATACGAGTGGGTCGATCGACCGTGCTCTAATAATAGACCAGAGAGAAACTTAGCTGTAACATTTTTGACTATGGAAAATACTTTCCAGAGTCATGAATAAAGTACAGGATAATTAAGAGCATCGATCCTAACAAAAACACAAACTACAGGGTTCATCATCACTAGTGGCAAAATGAACAGCAGTTTAACAAACAGACTTGATGGGTTTTGCTTTAGCACCCTTGAAGCGTTTGGTATGACGATAAGCAAATGGATTACTTGAGAGACGTTTACAACATGATAAATAATTATCGAATTTCTGCTCCCCTTTATTTAGCGCTTTACAGTTTATCGATGAATTGTTTGTTATGTTTTCACGAAAATGAAGATCATCTTTAATTACCCGTTCACCACTGTGGCCTTGTGTACATACTGGATTAGGAAAATTATATAATGTAGTGAAAGTATTGATGCTTCATAATTAATATGTGCAGTTCTATCATCTAAAATAGGACGCTTCGGTATTTGTATAGACTCTCTTTCCGAATCCGGTATGTTAGACCCTGCATCGATCAATCAGCTGCACACGAAGTTGTTCGCGAAGATAACACTCGAAGGCTTGATTCTTCATTTCAACGATGAGTTATCTAACCTCCTGGATATTCTAACGAATTGCTCTACAAAATCTTGTTTTTTCGCAACATTCAAAGTTTGTACACTTTACATGAGTTATAAGTAATTCTTTGTGAGTTTTGTAGGAAGGTGATATGAGCTTATTTGGGAATGTCAGTGTTTAGTGGGCTTTATAAATGTAAGTAAATAAGCCAAAAGTTTATCATCCTTAACTTTTTCCTGGTCATACTCCAGATTTCGAACCTTTCCATGTTATGTTCGAATGCTTCGGAATTTGAATGTGTAGCGTGGCGTCGAGTCGAAATTGACTATGAACACCGCTACAAAGAAACACGTGCCAAATAAATCAGAAGATGAGGGTTGAACGTAACCAAATAAATCCATAAAATCCGCAAGAAGCCAAATATCAGAAGGCAGTTAATGGACCAAATCGAGATATATTCGCTGGCCATCTCGTGGCATCGAAATGATACCGAGATCGTGCCAGGATAGAAGCTTGGTTACAGAACGTAAGCAAATTCGCGCGAAGTTACAATCAAAGTGTGAGTATAAGAATGGAAGCACAAAATAGCTGTCATTAGCACAGTCAAACAAAAGCACATTAAAACAAACACTGGTACGGTTGGTTATAATAATAATTGTTTTTATTAAACCAGTTGTGTTCTCGTGATAAATATGAGTCACTACAAATGTATATCCACGTGCTCAGTCCAAGGTTTCATCACGACGCCAATGTGATAATTACGAGTGTTCAAATCATTGTATTACCTAGCGATGCCCGAAGCAGTGAAAATTAAGGCAGGTAGAACTAGATGCGCAA